GACGAGTTGGTGGGTGGTAGGGGAAGAGAGGAGTTGGTGGGTGGTAGGGGACTGGGGTGGGTGGGGGGGAGGAGAGAGGGGTGGGTGGTAGGGTAGGGTAGAGAGGAGTTGGTGGGTGGTAGGGGAAGAGACGAGTTGGTGGGTGGTAGAGGAGAGAGGGGTTGGTGGGTGGTAGAGGATGAGAGGGGTTGGTGGGTGGTAGGGGAGAGAGGGGTTGGTGGGTGGTAGGGGAGAGGGGTTAGTGGGTGAGTTGGTGTGGGGGAGAGAGGGGTGGGTGGGTGGGGGGGGGGGGAGAGAGAAGATGGTGGGTGGTAGGGTAGAGACGAGTTGGTGGGTGGTAGGGGAGAGAGGAGTTGGTGGGTGGGTGGGGAGAGAGGAGTTGGTGGGTGGTAGGGTAGAGACGAGTTGGTGGGTGGTAGGGGAGAGAGGAGTTGGTGGGTGGTAGGGAAGAGAGGAGTTGGTGGGTGGTAGGGGAGAGAGGGGTTGGTGGGTGGTAGGGGAGAGAGGAGTTAGTGGGTGGTAGGGTAGAGAGGAGTTGGTGGGTGGTAGGGGAGAGAGGGGTTGGTGGGTGGTAGGGGAGAGAGCAGTTGGTAGGTGGTAGGGGAGAGAGGAGTTGGTGGGTGGTAGGGGAAGAGACGAGTTGGTGGGTGGTAGGGGAGAGGAGTTGGTGGGTGGTAGGGGAGAGACGAGTTGGTGGGTGGTAGGGTAGAGACGAGTTGGTGGGTGGTAGGGGAGAGGAGTTGGTGGGTGGTAGGGGAGAGAGCAGTTGGTGGGTGGTAGGGTAGAGACGAGTTAGTGGGTGGTAGGGGAGAGACGAGTTAGTGGGTGGGAGGGGAAGAGAGGAGTTGGTGGGTGGTAGGGGACTGGGGTGGGTGGGGGGGAGGAGAGAGGGGTGGGTGGTAGGGTAGGGTAGAGAGGAGTTGGTGGGTGGTAGGGGAAGAGACGAGTTGGTGGGTGGTAGAGGAGAGAGGGGTTGGTGGGTGGTAGAGGAGAGAGGGGTTGGTGGGTGGTAGGGGAGAGAGGGGTTGGTGGGTGGTAGGGGAGAGGGGTTAGTGGGTGAGTTGGTGTGGGGGAGAGAGGGGTGGGTGGGTGGGGGGGGGGGGAGAGAGAAGATGGTGGGTGGTAGGGTAGAGACGAGTTGGTGGGTGGTAGGGGAGAGAGGAGTTGGTGGGTGGGTGGGGAGAGAGGAGTTGGTGGGGGGTAGGGTAGAGACGAGTTGGTGGGTGGTAGGGAAGAGAGGAGTTGGTGGGTGGTAGGGGAGAGAGCAGTTGGTGGGTGGTAGGGGAGAGAGGTTAGTGGGTGAGTTGGTGTGGGGGAGAGAGGGGTGGGTGGGTGTGGGGTGAGAGGGGTGGGTGGGTGTGGGGTGAGAGGGGTGGGTGGGTGTGGGGTGAGAGGGGTGGGTGGGTGTGGGGGGAGAGGGGTGGGTGGGTGGGGAGAGGGGTGGGTGGGTGGGGAGAGGGGTGGGTGGGTGGGTGGGTGGGGAGAGGGGTGGGTGGGTGGGTGGGTGGGGAGAGGGGTGGGTGGGTGGGTGGGTGGGGAGAGGGGTGGGTGGGTGGGTGGGTGGGGAGAGGGGTGGGTGGGTGGGTGGGTGGGGAGAGGGGTGGGTGGGTGGGTGGGGAGAGGGGTGGGTGGGTGGGTGGGGAGAGGGGTGGGTGGGGGGGGGGGGAGCAGATGGTGGGTGGTAGGGGAGAGGAGTTGGTGGGTAGTAGGGGAAGAGAGGAGTTGGTGGGTGGGTGGGGAGAGAGCAGTTGGTGGGTGGAAGGGGAGAGACGAGTTGGTGGGTGGTAGGGTAGAGACGAGTTGGTGGGTGGTAGGGGAAGAGAGGAGTTGGTGGGTGGTAGGGGACTGGGGTGGGTGGGGGGGAGGAGAGAGGGGTGGGTGGTAGGGTAGGGTAGAGAGGAGTTGGTGGGTGGTAGGGGAAGAGACGAGTTGGTGGGTGGTAGAGGAGAGAGGGGTTGGTGGGTGGTAGAGGAGAGAGGGGTTGGTGGGTGGTAGGGGAGAGAGGGGTTGGTGGGTGGTAGGGGAGAGGG